TCAAGTTTGTAGTATCTCATATTTAAGAAGTATTCATTCACAAAACAGTGAGTGTAACTGATAAGGTAATGATCTGAGTAGGCTGTCATCTGTCTTTCCTACTGCTATATGAGCTGCATGCTGTTTTTTTGTTTTGTTTTGTTTTGTTTGTTTGTTTGTTTGTTTGTTTTAACATGATGCTCTTCTGCTCCTCCAAGTTCCAATAAGAGTATATAAGTCCTAGGTGTTTAGATTGGGAAGCATGAGCCACACGACCACCGTAGGGAGTTCAGAGGGTCTTAAGACACACTCTGGATTCTGTTTGAATTTTTGCAGTATGTTGGGCTAACAGACCCCAACTCAGCGCCTTCTGTCTACATTTCAGTGAATCTGCTCCCTGTGCAAATAATTTGAGAGGGCAAGGCTTGTCATGATCTTACAATTTTTCATAACCATTTTGTAGGTGAGGTTATTCACCTTGCATCGTAATCCATACAACAATGCGACTGCATTTCCTAGGAGCATAGGAGCATCACATTTGGTACACTATCGCAGCTTTTAACAGATGAATTCTTTATTTCCTCTAGGGGCAGACAGTGTTGTCTACCTTTCCGTGGAAGGGCTGGTATCATCTGTGCAAGAAAGCATCAGAGCAAGACAAGAGAATGAGAACAGCCTTAAAACCCAGAAATCACGTGTTGGAAAGATTGGTCATTGCACTGCATGTCTCACTGGAGAATATCCCGTAGAGCTAGAATGGTGAATTTTTAGTGGATGCACATGGGTTCATCATTGTTGAATGTACTTTTTGCCAAGATGCCTTCTTGCTAATAGCCTTCTTACATTTAGGTAATATGTAAAGCTTATTATAGTTGACTGATTACTGTTAGTAAAATACATCTTTATTGGTAAAGACTTAGAGAGTCTGTGCTGACGAAAACTATGTAAGCAGATTGAAATACAAAATCATATAGTTTTGATGTACGGTCGTGCCTTCTATTTTCTCATAAAATATTGCAAAAACCAAAGTGTTTATAATTATGTAACAATGCCAGAGCTTTTTGTTTCAGTCTCACCTCAAATGTGAGATATCCCTGTCAGACTTGTTCACAAAGTACAAATTATCGGTCATGTGGTGTAATTTCAAATTAATCTAAACCTTTAAGCAAAAAGGATGTGAAGCTTGCTTTCCTGTTTTGGAAAAAAATACCAGATTCTAAAGAGTCTTCTTGTTTCCTCAGCAGTTCTTGCTTAGATTTCTTAAAAATAGAAGTACCTGACTTTTGCATATATAACTAAATGGCTATTATTAATCAAGCCCTTTGTAACTAAGTTTCCAGATTCTATAAATGTAAGGTCTAGCACATGATTTGAAAAAATGAATACTCAGGGAAATGCTCAGCCAAAAGCTTTTTTTAGGTTTATAACTTCAAAATTCTTTTTTTTGAATTCCGCTCTAAATCACAGAACTGTAGAATGGTTTGGGTTGGAAGTGACCTTAAAGACCATCTAATTTCAACCCCCCACCATGGGCAGGGACACCTCCCACCAGACCAGACTGCCCAAAGCCCCATCCAGCCTGGCCTTGAGCACCTCCAGGGATGGGGCATCCACAGCTTCTCTGGGCAACCTGTGCCAGTGCCTCACCACCTTTACAATAACAAATTTCCTTGTAAAATCTAATCTAAATCTACCCTTTTAGTTTTATAAAGCATTCCGCCTTGTCCTATCACTATGTGCCTATGTAAAAAGTCACTATCATTTTTATCACCTTCTTTTTTAAGCCCCCTGGAAGGTTGCTGTAATGTCTCCCCAGAGCCAGGCTCACGGCCCCAGCCCTCTGCCTGTCTTCATAAAATAGGTGCCTCCAGCCCTTTCATCATCTTCGTGACCCTCCTCTGGACTTACTCCAACAGGTCCATGTCCTTTTTGTGCTGAGGGCCCCAAAGCTCTGTGCAGCACTTCAGGTGGGGTCTCACAAGGGCAGAGCAGAGAGGCTCAATCCTGTCCTTCCCCCTGCTGGCTGTGCCGCTATTGATGCAGCCCAGGATGCAGTTGGCATCCGGGCTGCAAGCGCACAATGCCAGCTCATTTCCAGGTTTTTGTCCACCTCTCTTCAGGTGCTTTCACCAGATGGTAATAGGATGTGGAAGGAGAAAAATCTTTGGCAGTGCCATTTGTTTTATTTTCTGTTTCACATCTTGTGTTCTTCAGGACAAATCCTGACAACCTCTGAAGTCTGAGCTATATGTGCTTTATAGATGTCAGTGTCCAAACTTAACTCAAAAATAAAAGTCGCTTTCTTAACAGTGAGAATGATAGATCAACTGAAGGTTATCAGTTGTTCTGGGTATACTCTTATTTTCCTACATTACTGCTGTTATTATAAATGTAATGTTTTTTCTTAAAAAAAGTTTTGAAGAACCATTAGGTATTGAATGCCTTGTATGTTTTAATCAGTAACGATTACGGTTACTTGTATACATAAAGATCACTTCACAACGAACCACTACCTGAAAGGGAAGAGCACCTTTCAAAAATATTGCAAATTTACGCACAATTGTAAAAATATTTTGTATACCTCGTTTTTTTCACTGAATACCAGAAATTTAATTTTAGGTTTTCTATTTAATGTTGTATATTTTGGCCTTACAATTGTTTGTGACACTGTTGCAACAAGAAAGAAAAATAAAAGTTTAAGAAATTCTTCCTTCCCAATCTTACACATAGTGGAGAATTACAGTACTTGACATTAAAGTCAGAAGAGAGCTTTCTTATGTGGGATCTGTAGCAACTGTGCCTGATACACAATCACAAAACAAAAGTCCCAGTTCAAGAAAGCATTTAAGCACATTTTGTGGAAGTAAGACTGAACTTTGTGCAGGTTCTCGTGCAATCAGAATCTACATGCAGTCAAGTTTATGGGAAAATCTCTTTCATTGTGAGAATCATGCCCTTCACCAAAGCCCAGATCCACATATTAGGAGAGGTATTTAGATCTTACCTAATTTGCAAGCTTGTTAGTTTGTTTTTTTAACAGTCCTATAATCTGGACAGTAAATGGAGAAAACAGAACTGGGTGCAGTCACTCTGACCTCCCCCCTTCTACATTAGAAGGGAGAAGTGAGAGAAAACAGAAAAACTTAACATTTATCACCTTTCTTCTTTCCTGCCCTCAAAAAACCAAAAATTTTCAAAAGAAAGGGCAAGTTGAGCTCTTGTGTTAGATGTGAGGAGCCCTTCCTACCGGACATACACGTAGGTGAACAGTTTAACAAGGCTGGAAGCAGAATTCAATCAGCATCTCTGAAGCTGTCTGTAGAACAGATTGTAAATGAAACTTGCGCAAAACAGTTTCATTTATTTTGGACTTATTTTAAAATGCCACTTAAGACACTTTTGGAAAAAAAATGATATTTTTGCATGTGGAAATAACTGCTTAAGTGTGATTTGAGTTAGGTGCAGTAATTCTGATTTCATTAAGAGTCCCAATACCTTTTTTCCCTCCCCATAAATACATAAATAACACGTGTGAAATTACAAGGAAGGTCTGCTACTGCAAGCAGTGTGATCTTTAGTAATGATACACGCCTAATCTTTAAGACCTTAAAGTGAAGAAACTTTTGAAGTGTCACTTTATTCACAGACAACTGGAAGTATGCTTCAGGATACCATTTATTTTAAATCCCATACTGTGAGATATACACATGCATTGAGTGGAAAACAAAACAAAACAAAACTTAAGTTCCAGGTGTTGCCATTTGTATTATTTCAATGTTTTTCTGTGAAACCACTACCAACGCGCTGTTATTTTAAAAATGGGACAAAACAGTCGGGCGCTGACGCACTAACTCCTCCCATGCACGACATTAAAAACGGCGATGAACTGCTTTCTTCGTCATCTTCCTGCGCTGCCTTTGCTGGCAGCACGCCTCGAATTTGTCCTTAATAAACTCCCCATGAAAGAAATTATCCGAGACCAGCCGCTGAAGCCCCTGCCAGCCCCGCCGCCCCTCAGCACGCACCGCCCCCCCCCCCCCCGCAGCAGCCCGCTCCCCGCAGCCGCCCTCTGGACAAAATGGCGGCCGCGCCCTTCCCGCCGCCATAGCGCCCCCGGCCGCCCGTACCATCTTCTGCATGGACGGGGGGGGGGGACACGAGCGGCGTGCGAGTGGTGAGGCCGGGCCGCTCCGCACTTCTCAGCCCGCCCTCCGCCCCGAGGGTCTCTCATCGTCTTTTTGCCCCTTTCTCATCGCTGAGGAGGCGCTGCCGGGGAGGGCCGGCAGGGTTGCAGCGCACTCACCGGTGTCTTTCCCCCCCCCCTTATGACAAAATGGCACCGCCCCGCTCTGGCCGGGCGCCGCTTTCGGATGCCTGAACAGTGCGACAGAAACGGACCAATGAGAGCACGCTTTACTAGGGAGTCGTCCAAGACTATAACAGTTCCACCAATCAGAAGCGCTGTCATTCGGTTGCTAGGAGGTGGCGAGCGGCGGCTGCTGCCTGAGGTGGGAGCCGGGGGCCGCGGGGCTGGGGCTGGGGGCGCCCGGTCCGAGCCGGCCGCGGGGCTGGGGGCGGGCTGGGGACAGCGGGGGGCGGGTGGGGGTGTGGGGGGGACACAGCGGGGGGCCTAGGGCGGAGTTGGCTGCCCCGCCACTGGGGCGGGCCGGGCGGGCCGGGCGGGAGGGCCCCACGGTGCAGGGACGCGCATCCTGAGGGAGCAGCGCTGGTAAAGGCTTAGGGGTCGCCTGTTGGGGTCGCTGCGTGAGCGGCGTTTCCCTCTGGTGGTAAAGCTGGGGGTCAGCTTAAGGCGTTGAGGCCCTGGAGCGTGTCCGGAGCAGGGCTACGAAGCTGGGGCAGGGCCTGGAGCACGAGTCCTGTGAGGAGCGGCTGAGGGAGCTGGGGGTGTTTGGGCTGGGGAAGAGAAGGCTCAGGGGAGACCTCATTGTGCTCTGCAGCTGCCTGAAAGGAAGCAGTGGGGAGCTGGGGTCAGCCTCTTCTCACAGGTAACTCGTGATAGGACCAGAGGGAATGGCCTCAAGTTGTGCCAGGGGAGTTTCAGGTTGGAAATGAGGAGAAGTTTATTCTCAGAAATTGCAACGGGTTGCTCAGGGAGGTGGTGGAGTCCCTGGGAGTGTTTAGGGAGAGGTTGGACATGGTGCTTAGGCACATGGTTTAGTGGGTGACATTGGTAGGGGGATGATTGGACCAGATGATCTAGGAAGTGTTTTACAGCCTTAACGATTCTATGAATTACTAAAATTAATGTTTTAGTTGTGCCTAGCTTTATTTATAAAGATGTGATGATGAGGAGCAAACTACATCTGTAATTAAATCTAGGTGAATTACTGTGCTCCTAAGCATGGTGTATGATTAAAATGTCAATCTTTACGTTCTAGCAGTATAAGGTGTTGTGATGAAGCACTGTGTTTTCTGTTAAATGAGAAGTTGTTTTTCTTTTTTTCTGTTTGGTACTGTTTTGTGTATTTATGTCATTTGATTAATATACCATTGTATGTGTGTGTATATATATAAAATATAATATATAGGAGATGACAATGTAGTCTGCTTTTTTAATCTTCCAGGGCTCCTGAAGAAATGCAGCTGGGATGACTCTTCAGGAGATGGTGAACCAGGCAGCTAGCCTGTACTCGGATAGAAAAGCAGTTTGGTTTGATCAATGCAATGATGAGCCTCCAATTTTCTACACATACGCGACAGTGGTTAAACTTGCCATGGAGTTAACAGCTTTCCTTCAAAAGCACTGCAGTCACCAAGGAAAATGTGAAATAGGCCTTTACTGCTATCCAGGAATAAACTTACCCTCTTGGATCTTAGGGTAACGGTTTGAATTCTGTATTATATTTCTAGTGGTCAACTTTTATCAAGTAAATTTTCAGTCTGTTTCTAATATCAACAAAAATGTAGTAATACCATAAGCAATACCTACTACTTGGTTTTGCTGCAGATGAAATGCTTGCTTTTTTGTTTCTTTTTAGCATTCCTTAACAGTCAGGAGGCACTGGGGTCTTGCAATCTTAAAGGAAAAATATTGCAGTATTACATTTAGTCTTTGAAAAGTCTATGTCAAGGTTTATTGAATCTTAAGTTCATTGATCTAAAGTGTATGTAGTTCTCTTTAATGTATGGTTAAGTATATTTATAGACATATCAGGAATTATTGACTATCTTTGTACTTGTTTATAAATGGACTTAACAGAATAAATACCTATTCAAAAACAGGTATACTTTTTTTTTAATGCATTCTTGTCTTGCTAGCCAAAAATAAAGTCTTGAAAACAAATGGCACGTTTTAAGCTAAATGAGTCTGTAGGTACAGTTCCATTACAGGAGCATTGCAGGAGAAGTTAATTAGCAATGCAGCTCTAAAGAGACATTGATTACTTAATAGCTAGGAAATTGAAATGTTTCATAGTAATTGAAATGTAACATAGTATCTTAGCATCCCAAGGATGTTTTCTTCAGCTGATATATACTGCAGCAGCTTTGCTTCTGAGGTCTATGTTGGTATTTTCCTGCTGTCACACTGCACCTAAAATACACAGTAGCATAAGAAGATACATCACAATTGACTATAAAGATCTCAATCAACTGAGTGCTGTAATCGTAAACCTTCCAGAAGTGCCAAGGATCTTCCTCACTAACAAGGAGACACTTTTTCCCTGGTCCAGCAGTGGAGTGGGTTGCTCAGAGAGGTTGTGCAGGCTCTGTCCTCAGAGACATTCAAGATCTGACTGATCAAAGTCCTGCACAAGGGCCTCAGGGCTGATCCCACTGGAGTAGCAGGTTGTACTGGGCAGCCTGTAGCCCCATCCATCCTGGCTTATTCTGTGCCCCGATGCCCTGGGCAGCAACACACATTTCTTTTGTCATATGCTTGGGAACTGGCAGAGTATTTTGATTTTTTTTTAAAGCGATCCTCACGGAGTAATTAACTGCTATATATAATGCAGGGCAGCCTCAAATGGGTATTGATTCCAATAGGCAGAGCACTGCAGTTTCCAAGCCTTTGTTCAGGATCTTGTCATTATTACAGTGATAAATCACTTGCACAATGAGGAAGTATACCTAATTGGACACGGGAACCCAGCCTAAGATGAAATTAGAAGATTTATGGAAACTTCATATTTTAGTTACTGATTTTTTTTTTTTTTTTTTCTTCCCGTGGAGTTAATAAACACAAGTATGAGCCACTAGAGGGAGTGCTTGCAGTAAACAACAGTTGAAACTATAACGTGGATGAGAGCAGAATGACACTTAAGTGTTCCTCTATTTATTAGGGAAAAAAGTTCTGATGTGTTTACAGAATTTTCTTCTACCGGATTGTTTACTGAGAATAGGAGCTGTATTCAGTGTGTACACCTTTTTTAAAAAAAAAGTTTGTTGCAGGTGTATAAATGAATGCTTGTACTTCTGTCTAGAGTCTATAGCAGAAGTTTCAAAATCATGGTGCTGTTACGTCACTGTTACCCTTGTCATCACCAACCTGCTTGGCCAAGAAGAATTTAGCATTTTCTTATCTCTCTCTAATATTTTTCCTTGCTGTAAAATGCCAAAAGGCAACACTGATTATAATTTGTTTCATACTTCGTTTCTAATAAAATATTTAAAAGTCAGGTTATAACTAAATTTTCTGACTCTGGGTACAAATTACAGTTACAAAAAAATCTTAGTTAAATTCAGATGGATTTTCCTAGAATTTTCCTTTCTCCATGGATTTTTACTTATTTATTTATGATGTTTTTGTCTTGTTAGAATCCTGCAGGTTCCAGCTGCTTATTCTCCTATTGATCCAGATGCACCACCAGTATTATCCACATACTTCATAAGGAAAAGCAATCTTCGATATATTCTTGTTGAGAATGACAAAGTAAAGGTAAGTGTTTAGGCTTCTGCAGAAGCATCAAATGCGATTTAAAAATGTGTAGCTCTTCAGATTGTATTCTGTTTCTATAAGCTTGGTTGGGCTTGTTTTTTTGTTGTTGTTGTTGTTTTTTTTCATGACAACAGGCTTTCATTCAGAAAAGTACATCTTTAAAATTAGAAGTACAAAGTGCTTCTCCCCATTCAAAAAAAATTTTTGTCCTCTGTGGAATTCTTTAGTATGTTTTTCCTTTTCACTATTTGCTCAGGTAATTGTTTTTTCTCATTTTTAAAGTCTGGGTTTACTCATAGTTAATATACAAACATATATAAGCTTAAAACTGTCAGGTGCAAGTCCTCCAAAACAAAGGGGTGAAAAATCACAGGTTATTTCTGAAAAATGTTTCATGTTTCATTACACACGATAAAACAACAGCACATCCTGAGTTCTGCTGTTTAAATTGTTCGTTTTACTTTACAGAAATTCCAGATGTCCCACGCTGGTTGGTTTTCCTGCAATTCTTCTGCAGTAGAACATATGGGTTTAACTCTCTTCCAAATGAGCTGGAGCAATACTGATGTAAATTCACAAGCAGACAATGTGAACAGTAAATATGAACCTTTAAAGGCTATGGGTAACTCTCAGCTAGGAAATACTGTTTGCCCAGAGCAACTCAAAGTAAAAACATCAGAAGGAGATACATGGATGTTGGCCAGAACTGCTCTTTAGCCTACGTCTTGCATACATCAGGAACTACCGGGACCCCCAAGATTGTCAGAGTACCTCATAAATGTATAGTGCCAAATATTCAGCATCTTAAGTACGTGTGGTTTTCAGTTTTTCCTTTAAAAACTTTTACAAATTTGTTATTTAGGGACTCTCTAAGCACTTCAGAGGGATGTGTATTGGGTCTTTGCTAACACTGTTTCACTTCCTCCTCCTTCCCTTGCTTTTCAGATTTCTCTGTGGGTGTTTCTGTTTCAAAATAGTTTTCAAACTTTTATTTCTCTTGGTGTCATTTAAACTTTTTAAAATTATTATTATTATTAAAGTAAGTTTATAATGTTTTTTTAATATATTTGTTTTTAAATATGTTTTACTCATTTTTATGGGTGTACTTCATATAATATGCTGTTGGAAATATTGTATTGCTGGTTTGCTGCTTAAAAGAAATAGATAACAAAGTTAATTATTCATTCACAATTATATATATCTATATCTATATATATTTTTGTAGTTTTTAAATCCTAATTCCTTTTTAGTCCCCTTGGGTTCCTCTCTGTTCTATTTAATAATTTCTAGAAAATCTATTTATGGGAAATAACAGGGTTTTTTTTTTTTGTTTGTTTGTTTGTTTTTTAAATGAGCACCCATTAGTTGAAACAGATCTTTCAGCATGCTGTATTGGTGTGTAATGTGGTGGATAAACTTGTAAAAGGACCTCATTAGTTTATACCAATAGTTACGTTCTTGATACAGGAGCTCTTGCTGAAATTGTCTGGTCTAAATATTCAGGCAACATGCCTACATATTCAGAGTAATCTGTAGCCCCTTGGCATTGCTGAAGTGAGGAATCTCTTTCCTGCTGCTCTTCTAGTTGATTTTATAGCAACTCTCATCAGGTTTGTAATTCCTGGCTTTCTTGTTTCAGATCCATATTTGAGATCACACCGGACGACGTGCTATTCCTGGCTTCTCCTCTAACGTTTGACCCCTCTGTGGTTGAATTGTTCATTGCACTGACCAGTGGAGCCTCGATTCTCGTAGTCCCAAACACCGTTAAAATGATGCCTTTGGAGCTGTCTGCTGCTCTGTTTCACCACCACCATGTGACAGTGCTGCAGGTAGGCAACACCTAAGATGACTGTTTTCAGTGTTTGACTTCTCACCTTTCCTAGTGTGTGTTACTTTTTTATCAATCTAAACAGTAACGACAGTAGTGTTCTTCCTGGAGAGAGGAGGTTATCCTTTTTCTGTAAAATGTTAGCTCTTTGGCAAATTACCGTTTGAAGGAAGCATCACATAGTTTACAACAGAAAGCAATGAACTGAAGATGAAACCAACATCCGTCCTGAGAATCCATTAATTCTTAAGAATTAATTAAATTATGGTGTAAGCTGTTAGAAATATGTTAGCACCATGTAATAGACTTGATCTTGGAGGCTTTCCTCAAAAAATTTTTGAATTTTAGTGGTAGTCTCTGTACCAAAAATACAACAGAAATAGTGCATTGATAAGATGATAAAATATTAGTAATTTATTATTTATTTATTTGTTTTACAATAATGAGAGAAATAGAATGATTCCCCAGCAACATTTCTTGTTTTCAGGCCACTTGCTTATATGAGGCTTCATTTGTCCCTTCTGTGATGGGTCATCTCATTTTAAATAGCTTTAAAATTCATTTTTGGATATTTACTTGAAGTTGTGAGTATCAAGCATAGTTGAATAATCTTGACCTTTTACCTGGCAGTGTAATAAAGTATTTCGTAAAGCTAGGTAAAGCAGAAACTCTGCAGAAGAATGTAAATTGGTGCTGATAGTACTCATGAAGGGCTTCACACGATATACAAAACCTTGCACAACAGCAGCACAGTCTATACTGACATCTGATGGTTGATGCCATCTACTGTACAGAGATTAAGATTAAATAGATGCACAACATAAATGTGGTAGTAAATATAAAGCAAGAGGTACACATATGGGAAAAAAAGTAATAGGTGTTTCTCATTTTTTTTTTTTTAACATGAATCATTCAGGCAACACCAACGCTTCTCAGAAGGTTTGGAGCTCACATTATTAAATCAACAGTGCTGGCTGCAGATACTTCACTCAGAGTCCTAGCCCTTGGTGGTGAAGCCTTTCCCATCCTGAGTCTCTTGAAAACTTGGAAGCACCAGGAGAACAGAACAAGTATTTTTAATCTGTATGGTATCACCGAAGTGTCAAGCTGGGCCACTTGCTACAAGATTCCTGAAGAGGTTTTTAGCGCTGATTTTAGGTAGGACATTTCATTGTTTTCATGGCTTGGTGTGTGAATGATAAAATCAGTAGAAATGAAACCCAGATCTCCTGTTTCCAGGGCTACTTGAGTCCTCATCGGTGTTTATGCTGGTAGAAGTTGCATATGTTTTTAATGTCGAAATAGGCAAATCTGACCATTTCTTACATCGTTACAGCCCCCTCAAGTAAAAGAAGTTGTTGAGTTGATGTTTGAACCATAAAACTTCAGCCTGAAATCCTGCATACTTGTAGCACTGCTTCACACAGTGTGTTGTGATGGTTTCTGTTGTGGTCATCTCTCTGTCTAGACTTCTTCCTCATCCCATCCTGTGTTCCCACTAGTGGACCTGGACTGGCCTAGTCCAGGGTGTGCTCTCTGGTGGTACTGGCTTGGTGTTGCACCTCTGCAGGCAAATAGCTCCCACCCAATCTGTTAGCAACTTCAGTTAGCCCTGCTCTTGCTCCTCATGAAACCTTTCCAGTGAGATCTTGCATATTTCAAACAGAAGAAGCCTAATCGAGCTGTCAGTGGGAGTAGAAAAATGAGGCTCTTTAAGTCTTAATCATAGCCTCTGAACAAAGATACGCTCATAGCTTAGTTCTGTCAACTTTAGAAAGTTGCTTCTGAGATTTACTTATCTGACGCAAAAATACTCAGAGATGACTTTCAAATGTAATCGATAGATATGAGTGGTTCGTACTGCTACAGTGCTTTTACCTACAGTTTTAAAACTCCACAAACGAAGAAGTGGAGACTAGTTACTGATTTTTTCTGACATGGGATAATACACTGTTCAGCAAATGATCCCACTGATGTTACCTGACAAGTACGGATGGCAGAAATCTGTACACAGTGGTTCACCAAAGGTTTCAGTCATTTTAGTTGGGCTTCCAGAAGTACTTTCTTTTCATCATTTAGCACTCTGCTATTTTCACTCAATTAAAGACTTTTTTTGTTCATTGTGTTTCATAAAGAGAGTTGGTGGAGTGTCAAGGCCATGAGAGGTTCTTTGAGTTAGCTCAGTGTTTTGTTTGCTCTCTGAAATGTGTAATTATTCCCTGGCTTGGTGTTACACACGTGATTTCAGTTAGGCAAGTCTTAGGAAATGGATGTTTCAGACACATGCTGTGATATATTAACCTGGCGCTTTAACAACGGAAGACTGAAAATGGTGGATGGTCATAAACTGTTGTCAAGTTCTCCTGCAAAACTCCTACTGAATAAGCAAGGAGTCTTACAAAAAATGAAATGTGGCCTGTTATTAGATACCTGTTCTGCAGAAAACATGAGATCTTTTACAGCACTGAAATTTTCTGATTCTAGTGTTTTATTCTGGTTTCTCTGAGTTCAAGCATTGCCTTCTCCTCAGTGAAGCTGTTTTTCCTACTCAAAGTTTGTGCTCCAGAGATAGATAATGTGTCATTTTTCAGTTCAAACTAAGGTGCAGTTGCATTGCTGAAAATTTTTATAGTCTGTGACTGTTGTCTCTCACTCTTCACATCACAGCCTGTTTCCTCTAAGTGTCACTGCCAAGGGAATTACAGTTCCTTTGCAGTAAACATGTAAGCAGCCCAGGACCAAAAACATGACAGATGGTTTTATTTCTTCTTCACTTCTTAGTATTGGTAGGACAATTGCAGTGCAGTGGTATGTTACTTTTTCTAGCTAAATGATAAAAACTGGCAGTTTCTAGAGAACGCTAGAATATCAAAAAATCAGAAAAGTTAGTGCATTATTGGTCTGTCTCCTCTGTTTTTTAGATATGTTTGGCAAAACTAAACATCTAATCTCAAGTCTCTTAAAAATAATGTCACAATGAATTTATTTTTAATTTTGCTGTTTTGTATATACGTAGTAATCTTGTTTTGTTTGTTTGTAGTTGCTATATTTTACTTTGTTTTGTTTTTTTATTTTCATTGTGACTTTCCCATGGTGTGGGGTAAACATGCTGAATATCAGGGATGCTTTCCCTTGCCTATTTGCCAAGTCATTGTATTTTGAAGCTGAACAGAGCAAAGAAAAGAAGATCCCCACTTGGCAAAAAAAACACAAAATTTGAGTGCATTTTGGCAAACACAGGATAAAGCATTCATTGACTGATCAGAAAACAAAAGAGGAGAGGTTTCAACAGCCTAAATAGCAGGAATTGTACAAGAGTATTAGGTTCAAATATGAGACTTTATGATCAAAGTTGAGCTGAACCACATGCCTAACTTGATATATTACCAAAATTATTTCAAGTTACTCTTTTTTTTTTTTTAATTTCACTGAAAAAATATATTATTCTCTATTTTCACTCAGAAGTAGTGTCTGTGTTCAATGAATGAGGTTTTGGAAAGTGCTTGAGCTGGAGAATGAAGGGAAAGGAATGAGTTGGTCTGCAGTTCAATGGAAGAATTCTGTAATAAGATACATGATATTGAAATTACTATTCCTTTTATTTCAGGTTTTTCTGGAAGAGTCATCTGTATTCATTGACACAATATCAGTAACCAACAAGAATAAAAGCTCAAACTAGGGTAGGGAAAGAATGAATTAGAAAGTGTTTGTATGTGTTCATAATGGTTGAACGTGATAGAGGTTCAACCAGGGGGACTTAAGAGCTGGCAGAAACTCAAGGTACTCTCAAGAGATTTCATGATCCATTAAGCCTTATTTTCTATCATTCTTGGGGTGTTTTTTTGAATATGATAATGAAACCCATGAACATTGATGAAGTTTTAAATTTTGAACAAATAAAGCATTTTTTTAAGAATAAATATTTGTAGAAAGAAGCCCCAACTATCTACTTTTGCCCTGATACCAAACATTTAAAAGACTGTATGTTACATAATTCCTGGAATGGTTGTTTTGTGTTCAGAAGGGAAAAGATTTTTACTGCTTCTCTCTTCAATATATTTAGGACTAATTTCTCTGTACCTTTGGGATCACCACTCCTTGGAACAACAGTTGAGGTCAGAGACGACAACGGTTCTGCAGTTCTAGAAGGCGAAGGACAAGTATTTATAGGTTATTTTATATTTTTTGTTCTTCTAAGATACTTTTCCTAATTGGTTTTTAGTAATATGTTGATTTTTTTTACTTGGTGTAAAACAGATTAACATAACACTGTAAATTCCCACTGGGCTGGGAACCTTGATGGCATTTTAGGTTGTTGGAATGATGGACAGGAAATTATCACCATTTTATCTGCATGCTGCTTTCATTATACTGATTATCTTTTTTTCCTGCTTGCAATTTTGATGCTCAGCTGTAATAATTTACATGTTGTAACTGAATTAACTGTATAGGCCAATTGGTACAGTGTAGAAGTTTAGACATTGATGATAAACTTTTGCTATTTATAATGCTTGCTAGCATTTAGGATAATTTAATAAAACACTCAGTATTTTCATAATAATTTCATTTACAGTTAGCCATTTAATAATGACCACGGTCCTTTCTTGTGTAGGTGGTGAAGAACGAATCTGCTTTCTTGATGATGAGATAACTGTACCCCCGGGAACAATGAGAGAAACAGGGGATTTTGTAAGAGTGCAGAACGCGCAGATGGTCTTCTTGGGTCGGAAAGACAATCAGATTAAACGTCATGGCAAACGTTTTAATATTGAATGTTTGCAGCAGGTAATATAACATCTAATGTTATGCAGAGTGGCTGAGGGAGCTGAGGTTGTTTAGCCTGGAGAAAAGGCTTGGGGAGACCTCGTTGCTCTCTCCAATTACCTTAAAGGAGGCTATAGTGAGGTGGGGCTCTTCTCCTAAGCACTAAGTGATAAGAGGAAATGGCCTTTAGTTGTGCCAGGGGAGATTTAAGTTGGATATTTGGTAAAAATTCTTCACTGAATGGGGTGTGAAGTATTGGAACAGGCTGCCTGGGGGAAGTGGTGGAGTTGCCATCCCTAGGGGTCTTCAAAAAACGTGTAGATGCAGAGCTTAGCCACATGGTTCAGTGGTGGGCTTGGCAGTGCTAGGTTAAAGGTTGGACTGGGTGATCTTAGAGGTCTCTTCCAACCTAAATGGTTCTGTGGTTCTATGATTCTAATGAGTAGAGTATGCCAGTACAGAAGAGCAGGGATAATGCTCATGCATCATTACCACCAGAAATCTGTATGTACTCATTTTCAGATGATTTTTAGAAGTCTTGAAGAAATTAGGAGGATGTAGTATCAAAAACCTAGTCATGTAATGGAGGTACCTAGAAGGGAGGAGTTTGGTTTTGTATTCTTAGAAATCTATTTTATTGTATGTTTTATTCCAACAGAATTGAAAACTGTATATGCAGATGAAAATTTTCAAATGGCTTACTGCAGTGCTTGCATGGTCTTTTGATAAACTGCATTTCAAAACAAAAATAATATTTTTTAATTACAGGCTGCTGAAGATCTGTGTCAGGTAGAAGCTTGTGCAGTGACCTGGTATCAGCAGGAAAAACTTATCCTATTTGTTGTGCCCAGTGGTGATTTAGAAGAGAGAGAAACTCTTCAAGAACTTCAGAAACATCTGCCAGCTCACGCAATTCCTGATGAGCTTGTACAAATTAAATCTTTGCCTTTAACATCACATGGTAAGTGAAACTATAAGTACCCTTGGCACATACTTTAATGGTTTCCATTCTTTTTTTTTTTTCCTTTCTTCAATGACCACTGTCATACTTTTTAAACACATGGAGCAGGTAACACCTAACACCTAGTTAGGAAATCTTGACCATGTATTACGTGTGCTTGATAATGTTTCATTCAAGATTCAAAAAGCAGCAGTAAAATCAATTTAGTACTAAAACTGCACTTTTATTTTTCTCAGTCACTTCTGTTGCAGTCTGTGACAGAACCCTGACTTCTCTCAGGGAAAGATCAGGCACTGAAAATGGGATTACGCGGGAGGCTACAGTAAATTTTCAAAAACCTTGTTGGGTTCTGTTGAGTGTAGTTGATTGACTGGATTTAAAAAAAAAAAAAAAGTGCAGTTGAGTGTAAGCCTGTAAAAGAGTAGGACAACTATTTGGGGAGAGCAAGTTTTGGAAGTGTAAATGCTGAAAAGCAATGAAAAAAATCATACTTTATTTTCTACAAAGGCAAAGTTGATATATCTGAACTGAACAAGATTTACCACAACCATCTAACCTCCAGAAGGCGTGACAGTAAGCTGAATGGCGCAGAGGAATTGTGGGAAAGATTGCAGTATTTATGGAAGGTAGTATTTTGAGCTGCCTTTTTATCTTTGCAAGTGGATCATTATACATGTGTCAGGAATTAAACAGTTTTAAGAAGTATGACTAATGCAGCCAGAACATTCTTGCTGCCTATACATTCAAGTATTACAGCTCTTTCTGTTCAGTTAATACTTAAATATAGTTGCTCTGTAATGGCCAGGAGGGATTCATTTATGTTTCTGTATCAGATAAAGCTGCAGACTGTGAAGGTATCAGCAATTAGCATAGGAAGGATGTAATCTGTCAGTAGCTTTTTGAATACTGCTGCATTTGCCAAGTAAGGTATCCCTAAGGGAAACAAGGAACTGGGACGTGGAAATTTTGTACAAAATAGCTACTGTGTTAGTAGAGTTTCTTATTTCTAATGATAATTACGAACTGAAGAGTCTTTTTTTTAAATAGGTGGCACAATTGTGTAATTATCTCTTGGACCGTCTCACTGTATTGTTCCTAAACTTCTTTGGTAAAGGCTTATTTTTCAAAGTACTCAAATGTGACACCAAACAGTATTAGGTTTTTTTGAAAGGTATACTGCTAAGTTTCACCTGATCTGCTGTGGCTAGGACTTGAATACATACATGCAGAAGGAAGTTGGTGATGCAGTTTGCTGTGCCTGTGCTGATACTTAACTGTATTGGTGGCTATAGAAATATAACCAAGGGGATGGGACGTGCCCTAGATCTAGTTTGAACAGTAGAATGCAGCCTCCAAAAACAGAGGTTTGGGACTTCATAACTAGATTTAGGAAGCAGGGAGTGCAGTGACGGAAGACATGTAATAATTGCTGTTTGTTGTAATAACAATGTTGAATCCATAATCCTTTGTGAATTGGAAGGGGTTATAGCTTCAAAAGAAGGTAGATAAATAGGTTACTTAAATCATTCAAAAGCAAAAGATACTGGTTTATATAAATCTTACTAAAAACCAGTTTTATCTAAAGGCATCTATATTTTATCTGAGAAATAGTGTAGGTGTCATTAGTAAATGGTATTGAGATTGAAAATAGCCAACAAAAATACAGCACATTCTGCTTCAGTTCCTTATACTGTAGAATTGGAAATGAGCAAAAGAAAGTGTAGTATTGAACTAGTATCTCCCTGTTCCCACCTTTTCCTGTTCCTTCCCAGCTCGTATTCTGTCAGTATCTCTGCAAAGTTTCAGAGGAACTGACTTTCCTCAGTTCCTGTTAATTTTATTGGGACTTCTGGGTGTTCAGTAGAATATTACCTGACTTAAGCTTTTCTTTGTGACGTGGTGGAAGATTCATGAACTGTTATCTTTTTCCTTCTTTTCTCTAGTCTGTTCTGGGTTTCCTAGGTGATTCCAGTGGAATTTCTAGAGATGCAGTATTTCTTCACAGTGGTGGAGACTCCTTAAAGGCTCTTCAATTTTATGATGAAATTGAGGTGCTCGTAGGCAGAGCTGTGCCTGGACTCCTGGAGGTTATTCTCAGCCGCACGATCGAACAGGTTTATACACATATTCTTAAAACCGTGTTTCCAGATGAAGACCAGCTAATAAATAATGACAATGTTTTGAAAAGAAAACTAAGTGAGAACAATGGAGAGGAAATCCATGGAAAATATGGTAAATTGAAATCTGAAAGATATCTTAAGGTTGTTCCTGGATTAATTTCATTTATTGCGCTGAGCAGAGGAAATCATTTTCTTTCTATGCATTTCACCAAGTCTTTAATGCAACCCAGTAATACAGCACAGGTAGGAGTGGAGCCACTACAAGAACCATCCCTTCTGCATTTAGCGACTCCAAGTATAATGAACAGCCATGTGCAAGGGCATGACATGGAGAAAAATGGAATTTTAACAATTAACAGCAAGGCAAATAAAACTGACTGTAGCTCTGTGCAGCAACTCCATGCAGAATGTAGTCACATAACAACAGCAGAATTGACATTATGCACAAGGTGGAAGTCAAATACAAGAAAATGTGTTGATGCATCGCCGTTGGTTATAATACCATTTAAAGATGAAGTGTCTGCCTCTGTATATGTTGGCTCTCACTCTCACACAATGCAGGCCATTGATCTAGATTTGGGAGAAATAAAGTGGGAGAAGACCCTTGGAGATCGTATTGAATCTTCTGCCTGCATATCTAAGTGTGGGAATTTCATCATCGTCGGTATGTCTTCTGTTTTAGCCTTCGTTTCAGAGTCATTTTTCTGTTAAATATGAAATGAGTAACTTAGAACCTTATTTCTTCCCTCTGAATGACTTCCATTATACCTATCATCATACCTATCCATCAACTTGCGTGTCTGCTTCAGGACTAGTTTATTGTAAGACAAAAATGGAAGGAATAAGTAATTCGGGTTTCATGATAACCTGTTATGGGGGTTACTTAACATACTATGCAGTTCTGGGTGATTTTGTGTGAATTTATTAGAAAGGCCTTGTTAAGGAATAAACAGTAGGTTCAGTTTCTTTTCAGTGGTTGATTGAGGTGTGACCATTACACTGTTTTTTAAAAAAGTATGGAAAGGTGATACAGTCTTAAAGTGTCTTTGAATATTGATAGGTATAGAAGTTATTACATGGTGCCCCAGATAATTAAACTATGAAGAATAATCTCCTTTAACTATGTATCTGTAAATATAAGTAACATGGACGTGTTTGGGTAGCTTCTTGTTTTTAAACATGACTTTGGAAAAGGAAGGTTTTAATCCATCATTGTGTGTGAATTTTAAGGACTGTTGGCTGTTGATGTGTAGCACTGACTTTATATAAACTTTGTCAGTTAGGACCAGTGTGCTCTATTTTTTATCAGATCTGTTGCCAACAGAGTTACCATTATTCGTCTTAGCGTTATCTTTTTAGCTAGAGTGCATACATCACTGGTGAGCACAGACGTCCAGATGATGAAGTTTTTATGCAAAGCTAACATTGCCATTTTTTTCTACTATTTTGATTGTTTACTCTGACAACAAAATTGAATGTTTCTTAAGATCAAAAGTTTCTATAACTATAGTTTTCATTAGAAAACACACAAACTTTATTTTTTTAGCATCCTTGTTTTCATACAGGAAAATTAGAGAGAGAGGATTAAAAAAAATCTTCTCCCTTTTCAGCAACTCTACTTTCTTCTAATATTATTATTGTAAAAATTGGTAGAAAGGCAATGAAATAACTATATTCTGAATGTCACCTGGAAGGAACACACAGAATGATCATCTTTGAGTGTAGCAGACTCAACTTCGAGTTTGAATGATCAACTTCGAGGAGCAGCTTTGGAAAAAATTTTGAAACTCTATCTCCTAAGTCGTCTTATTTCTTTCCAATGTAATGATGCAGCTAAAAGCATAAATGACAGCATAAATACAAATATTTATTATGCTTTTTTTTCTCCATGGTTGTGTTTTGTCGGATACAGGCTGTTATGATGGCTTAGTGTACGTGCTGCAGAGCAGCGATGGAGAAACCCACTGGGCTTTTGTCACAGAAGACACCGTGAAAAGCTCTGCAGTTGTAGATCCTTCCAGCGGACTGGTCTACATAGGATCGCATGACCAACACCTGTATGCTTTGGATATTTATGTGAGCACACTGGCTGACTTTTCTGTATAGCAGAGCCAATATCCAAATTAGACCCTATCTGTAACACACCCAATGAATACTCCACTAGTGTTCATCTTCTCACCACTCCAATCAAACTTTTGAGAAAGTTTTGCCTGCAGGAAGTGGGGTTAGGATTATGTGGTAGTAATAGTTTTAGTGATGTTCTCCTGCTCCTGGGTGAAGCCACATCTTGAGCTTCTCAGTTACTGAACGACCTGTGTATGTTTCAGAATAGGGTGCCCAGCTGGAAAAAAAAAAAAAAAAAAAAGCCACACTGTGGCTTAGTGCTGGAAAGAGAATCTTAGGTTTTGAAAGAGCAGATTGGAGGAGAAGGAAAACAAGGGGGGGAGATACTACTGGTTGGTTAGCATGTTTTCTCATATTTACTAGAAAAGAAAGTGGCTAATGACATATGAGTTGCTATAATAGCATGTAAATTATATCTTAAATTTCCTAATTAGTAAGTAAACACACTGTTTAATAAGCTTTGACTTTAGAAGGTCTTTGTAAACATTCCGAGCTTGAACTCCAATTGTAATTCTTTTTCTTGTGCTTACAGAAAAAGGTGTGTATATGGAAATTGCATTGCGAAGGTGGAGCTGTGTTTTCCTCTCCCTGTCTAAGTTCTTCTCCACATCATATTTATGTTGCTACACTAGGAGGACTCTTACTGGCTGTAAACCCGGTATGTATGTTTGCCTGCTTGTCTTTGATCCCAATCTCAAATTTAGGTTAAACCAAAATGCATTTCTGAAGTTAAGAGCACTTTTCTGATGAAGGAAATCACATGATCTGATGTTACAATGAAATCTTTTTCACTTGAGAGCCTATACACAAGGTCACTATAACAATTCCTGTATTGCAGAAAAGGATCCGGTAACAAAGGGAATTGAAGTGACTTGCTTGAATTTGCGTGCTGACTGTAGGCTGAAGTTGGAATCAGTCTTCTGATCCCACATGCCACATTATTAGTTAAACCTGTATTTGTGGCGTTCAGCACTCACAACCCCACATCAGTCCTGGCCATCTTTACCTTCCCTGCTCCACATTTCCTCAGTAGTACCTAAGTGGTTCCCGTCTGCCGACAAATGTGTGGTTTTGCAGCTCTAGTGGGCTGTGGATAAGAAAATATTTTTTTTCTTAATTCTGAGTAAGAGGTAGTTGAGAACTCCAGCTGTAACGCCAAGTGATTTATAACAATAGGAGATCATTGTGACAATCATGGATTGTGGGTTGCAGCATTTCCTGCAGTATTTATAGTTTATAATAATGCAAGTCATAATTCATACAGCTTATTTACAAGATATTCTCTCCTTCACTGACCCTTTTCACATACTGAGGAGCTGGGAGTGGAATTAAAAATGAATCTGTCATTCTTGAAACTGCTACTACTACTGCTTTGTTATTAATATTACTGTTTTGCCTAGGGGAAGAAAGAGAAAGGTGGAATAGGGGGCAATGAGTATCCCAGGGAATGTGCTAAACATTTTGTCTGAATAGTATTTTTAGAGGTTTGCTTCTGGTGTGCATTCTGGTTGGAAGAGGCCTTTTTTCTCTCTTTCTTAAGGGCTGGGTCAAGCTGTGAAGGAAGGGTCATTTTGTGCAGCTGCTTACAGTTGTCTTAAGCATCATACTGCACACTGCCATTTACAGGTGACGGGGAATAAGATTTGGAAAAGCTTCCTGGGAAAACCACTTTTCTCCTCTCCTCACTGCAACGAGAAGTGTGTTTGTGTTGGATGCGTGGATGGAAACTTGTATTGTTACACTCACTCTGGGGAAAAGGTAAAAGCTGCTGCTGTTGGCCTTCTTGTGCTTTTTAAATGTTCATCACAAAACACTGCATGAGATGCTTTACTAATACTGTTTTCTGAGGTTTAATGATTACCACATACCTTTTTGAGAACCGAACGCAAGAATGTATTTATTTTTATAGAGTGGAGAAAGCAGAAAATCAGTACGACAGCCAGCCCATTACTGAGACAGAAATAGATAGTTTAGAGCATACACCCAGAGCAAATGGTAGTGCCAGGGCTGTGTCAACAAATAAAATGGTTTACTTTTGTTTTTGAAGTTTTTCAAGAATGTTTAAAGCATCTCTTTATACGTGGTGGCTGTTCAGAAGCTAAGGTTTCTTAGAATGTGTATTTATTTATCAAAAAATACTGGCATCATGGCAGAGATGCTGCAAATCATAATTCTGGCACGATATATCAGCCTTCACATTCAATTAAATGAGAATATTTTTTTAGTTCCTCCATGACGAGTGTGGTTTGGTACCATAATGTGGTTACAGTGTGGTAACAATTCATAAATTCATAACTTTCATTACTAATTCAGTTACAATGGGCCTAGAGTATTCTTTTCCCAAGTTGTCCATTTTATGTGTGCCTCACAGAAGGTAGCAACTCTTGCGTATCTGTTTAATGAGTCTTTTATCACTTACTTGTGTAAAGCTTAACTTGTAATGTGACAAGTATTTACCCTCACCAAAACCTCTTATGCTCTTGAAATAACGTGCTCTCCTGTCAACAACTAGTTACTAAAAAAACAGAGTTGCTGTCATACTGAAAATGTGACCGACCTGTGCTAATGGGTGGTTATGTTATTTCTGTAGGTTTGGCAGTTTCCCACTAGTGGACCGGTGTTTTCATCTCCGTGCATCTCAACTTTAACTAAGCAAGAAATATTTTTTGGCTCCCATGATCGCTTTATCTACTGTTGTAATACGGAGGGTAATTTACTGTGGAAATTTGAAGCCACTTCAAGTGTATATGGAACACCATTTGTTTTCCAAAGCGATGACTTAAAGAACAAAATCCTTTTGGCAGCAGTATCTACAGATGGCACGGTGTGGATCCTGAATGCCAAGAGCGGCACAGCAGAAGGAGTAGCTAAGCTTCCAGGAGAAGTTTTCTCTTCCCCGGTAGTATGGGGAACAAAGCTTGTTGTTGGCTGTAGAAACGATTATGTTTATTGCCTAGATTTGTGTATAACAGGAGAAAAAGAACAATGAGGATGTTAGGCTGCTACCTTTGTGTTGTTTACTTCTGTACATTAAGAACTCACAGGTGCTGTCTACCTCTCCGCCTGCTTTGCTGAAGACAAGAGATTCTCTTTGCAGACTTCTCAGGTAGCATTTTGCACCACGGCAACAGCCAGAGCAGGTAAGTGATGCTCGTTGACTTGCTGTACTGACTGAAGGCTGGCTGCTCAGCACCTAGCCCAAAGTTTCACTGTCCCTTCCCCACTTCCCAGCTCAGGTTCATGAAAGAAATGGTTTCAAATGGTTTGGATACGAGTGTTGTGCTTTTTACAGGTGCAGTGGGAAGTTAATAGGTAGTAGTTGGGCTTCAAGCACTTAGACAATTGGGAGAAGCTGGGGTAAGGTGCAGTACTGTGCAACTTGAATTAACGCGCTTGTCTTGATGAGGGAGGAACGTGTTCTTTCCTAGGATCCAGCCTCACTTCTCCCCCGGGCTGCTTTCGGCCCAGCCTGTGCCTGGCTCTTCCATATGTCGGGCTGCCGTTTATCTGGTTTGACTGGGTTTCTATTCCGTGGCAAGGTAACCAAAGTTCTTTGTTGATTCTAACTTTTCAGATGATTTCTAAGTACATATTCTACATGCCGTGGACTTGGGAGTAATGACTTTTTGTTATAGTTTGTATAAGCTACATAATTAATCTTGTGCAAGCCTGAGCCCTCCCTGGCTTCAGTTCAGCCAGGCATATACTTTCAAACTCCATTAAAGTCAGCACGAGTTACTTCCTCTATTCTGAAGTGGACAGGTACTTTGCTGTGTGTATTTATTACATGGCAGTGACAAGTTACTGTACGAGTTCCAAGGTGAAGTGTATAGTGTTCAAGTCAATGTTTGCCAAATCATTTTTGAAGAAATTTGAATTAATGCTCTTTACAATGTATTTACAGAGAACTATTAATAAAGGATTGTGTAGATTTTTTTGGTTGTCCTTAACCCCTTAAAAAGAATTAGTGCCAGTAATGCAGATCGAGTATTTGCAGACAAAAGTACACTTAAACTCTGAGTGTCTTCCTGATTACGAGTCTTCTGCAAGAACTCTTGTGGAAGCTATTATTTCCTTCTCACGCGCCATCTCCTTTAAATTCTAACAGCCTGAGTTAACTTAGCCTCTTCAAATTCTCATTTACTTTTTACTTCATCATGTCTTGTTCCTCCATTTTATTGTTAACAGAAAAGCATCAGCAAGACACTTGTGGCACTACAAGGTCTATTATAAAGCAAACCTGAACTAGAGATACCAACAGGAGACACAGAATTGATACACCCTTGCTTAGATAATTTTGACTGGGTTATAGTTTAATAAGAATTAAAATGACATAAGTATAATAAACAATTGCACTTTAAAACATTTGAAAAATTAAAAAAGTACACAACAAATACCCCACAATTATACATCTCATAGTTTTTATACATTACTATATGAACATAGAGGTTAATCATATATAACCTTGTCAGAAGAAATGGTATTTCATGTGTTTAAGTTACAAAAAATCGAGACAATATACTACATAGTGGTTTGTTCGGTTCTTAAAACATTTTTGCTGTTTTAAAGTCAGTAGTAATGTTTTGGTGGTTTGTTGTGTTTTTTTGTTTTTTTGTTTCTTTTTTTTTTCTTCTTACAGATTTCCAACACTTTATCAGTAATGGTTGCAACAAAGATAAAGCAAAGTAACACTTCACTTCATTGGTATTTAGTGCAAATTTTTGTTAATTTAACATGAAATGTCACTGTTAAACATGTACACTTTAGAAATGTTTCCACCAAGTACTGTACAGAATACAGTTTCCATTATTACACTAGATACCTTTATAGTTGAAAACAACTTCTGCTTTGAAGCTTTAGATTAAGACCATCCTTAATGAAAGCTCTTTTTTATGTGCTATAAGTGTATTGTATTGGAAAATTGCATCATCACGTCATGCACAATAGCACCTAATTATGCTATGCTTTTTGGAATACTTCAATCCTGATTTACTTCACTGTCTCTGTATTTCTGCCTGGATTCCTGTCCCAAGAAATAATCCTGAAGATGGGTTTCAGGCAGTCTAGTTCTTGTAATTACAAATAGTGCAGGCTTATAAACTCAGAAAAAAAGTGTAAATCAGACTTAAGCAGCACTAATTCGTGGTGCTAGCAGAGCAAAGACACTAATGGGCCCAATTCTTTCTCAGATAAGCTTGCAGAGATTTTTATTTTGAAGATGTTAAGTATTTTTTTCCAAATATTTGAGAACAGCATTGCCCCATCTCTGTACAAAACATTTAAAATACTTATATTAAGAGAAAAAAAGTTACTTTAGAGATTCTGGTTTTAAATATAAAACAGTAAAACTGATGGCTTAAAAGAGACACAAGAAAAAACGTCTTGCTGCTGCACAGCTACTCAATCTAATGCATCCTTTGTGTTTGTGCTGTTGTAACCATGATACTGAACCTTTGTTTTTGCTTTGATAGGAAATAGAGTATTCAGTAATGACTTTGTGGACAAGCCCTTTTTGATTTTTGGAATGGGAGGCTATGGCAGGTTTCATTCTGTTTTCTGCATAATTTAAAGTGCTGCTACTCATGCTGCATACAGCAGTTTGGCTAAAATACTTCCATGGAATGTGTGTGAATCTATAATGATGCAACTTATTCTCACGAAAATATCTCCCTTTAAAATGTTTTAGATTTAAAGGTTCCCTTGAGCCTTATCATTACAAGGAGATGTTCAAACTTAAAAACTTCCCTGAAAAACAAACTCGGGAGTGTTACAAATATATTTACTAGAATTACTTTAAAAATGTAGACACAGATATTTCTGTGGGATATTAAGAATAGTAAAATGATGGACTTTTTCCATTTTTGTAATAGGTTGGGAATGAACACTTCTATTTTAGGTACAAAGAAGTAACAAAGAATCTGCCCCAGCAGGTACCCCAGATGGGGGTAAGTAAGCACTTACTTGGGAGAGGTACAAAAACACTTTCTGAAGTCTGCTGGCTGTCTTGGTCAAAGCATGGGAAGTTATCTGAACCACCTAAAGCTGCGCATGAAGTAAGATCAGGAAGAACGCAGAGTTAAAACTTTAGAGATGTCACTGACTGAGCTTTCAGGTTTCAGCTGAATCCAGTCATGCAATCTTATTCCTGTGGGAACTTGATGAGACTAATTCTAGACGTACAGGAGCACAGGAATAGTTTTACTTACTTCAGTCCCAGACAATTGATTTCAAGTTTTAATCTGCAATCGCTGTCTGTATGCATCTTAAACATGGCCAAGCACAGAACCAGTAATGCGCTTAAATGACCTGAATAAACACTGCCTCTGGCTTAGTCAGCCAGGTTGGAAAAGACCCTGCAGGTCACCAAGTCCAGCCACCAACCTGACCTGCCAAGTCCCACCAGTAAACTATGCCCCTTCGGGCCGTGCCCACACATCTCTTAAATACCTCCAGGGATGAGGACTCCACCAGTGCCCTGGGCAGCCCGTCCCAATGCTTGACCGTCCTCTCTGTGAAGGAAATCTTCCCTAACATCCAATCTAAACCTCCCTGGCACAACGGAGACTGCGTCCTTGTGTCCTTTTGCTTGTCACCTGAGGAAAAAAGACCAACACCTTCCTCACTGCAGCCTCCTTTCAAGTAGTTGTAGAGAATAGAGGCTTCTTTCTGAAAACTTTCTGACTTCTGTTTAACTAGTAATTTTTATAAAGTTGGATGAATTGTTTTGTTTTCCTTGCTAGGAGTGAGAGAATATAGACATAATACGTTAATGCTATGATGAAAGAAATTACCTCAGCATTTGGATGGTCCTTATTTATCGTTTGCAGGTGGAAAAATGTTTCCCAAAGTTCATTAGGTAAGAAGCTTTCAAATAGCAGGTAGAACTGACAGTTCATACAGTTTAACATTTAAGAAAATTTAGGAATAAGAGAAGGGAACATGCATCTTGCATAAATTTTCAACAATGGAGTGTTGAAAAGCTTTTCTGAGATCTCCACTTAACAGCAGAGATCTAAAATTGCAGAACCAAATACTCAGAGAATTTAAGGAGCTTCTTAAGTTCTGCTCCTTCTGATGATACCAGCTAAAATTTACATCCAGTATCTGAGCATTCTTGAATTTTTGAGAGACTGGCTCTGAAATTTGCATGTGACCTCATTTAGCTATTTGTCAAAGCAATGGAATATACGACTTGAGTACACTTTACAGTGAGCTAGAGCAAAATGGTAATCAGTTCAGTTTTCAGTTCTTCAATACATGCATTTTCAGGTTTGTCATGTGTAAAAAGCTGAATAAATAAAAAGAAAGCAATTAATAGGCAGCAATAAGACGTAATTGTATGGTTTACTTTATGATCTGTGGACAGTCACTCCAGGCTTTTGCTTTCCTTTTGGCTAACGCAAGCCAGGCTGGTTCTGTTGACACAGGGTTAGCATCAGGCGTGGAGAATCTCTTGGCCACCTCTTTTGCCAGCGGGTTTGATGGAACAGAATCAGAAATTTCCACTGTTTGTGACAGAGGGGGGAGGGAGAGACAAAACAAACGTTACTTAAACCCAGTATTTTGTCACAGTTACAGAGATTTCTTTTCTCTGGAAGATGTTCTGTTTTATCACACTGCTTTCCAACCTTCTAAATCATACTATTTACTATTACTAACTCATTAGTCTCTTATCCATTTCTTTTTAAGCCAAAAATCTTTTTTTGTTAAATGTATTTAGTACAAATTACTTGAAGTTGTGTTCCACTGTCAGGTTTTGAATGTTTTAAAAAGCTGTAAAATTGCATGCATTGCAAAAATATTTTTTTTCTTCTTAGTGTAACTTTAATGATGTATTTTTAACTAACTACTAAATGAACAGTAGCATACTGCTACTAACGTACTGCTGCAGACAGACACTTCAAAAAGCTAGTAATTTTAAAGGTTGTGGTAATCTATGCTATTTTAATGGCTATAAGAGTTCTTTTTGCACGAGATTTATGTGCAAGTCGGAAGCACACCAACCTTTTCAAAATTTTTTTAAAGGTCCTTACAGGAGATCTCAGCAACCTTATTCTAAACGTGTTCTAGCCTGGTCTTCTGTTTTAAATGCTCTCCTAATTGTGGGAAACCTAAATCAGTGCTGTCATCCATAGTAAAGAAACGCTGGCTTACATTATACTTGTGCTGTTGGTAATGGCTACCTAACTCCAAATGTAGACAGCATCACATGGGTACCCAGTCACTATTTCCCTTAGAGCCAACAGTCAGGCTTTCACTTTAACATAATTGGCAATTCCTCTTGAATTTCCTCATGAAATTCATATCCTAGTGCAGACAGACCTTCCAAGGCTATTTTTTTTTGTCTTTCTTTAATCTAATTTTGGATCATCTATCGTGCTAGAGTTTTCCTGCTAGAGCTGACACCATATTGCAGTACAACGTACCTTACCACTGCATCTTTCCAGGTAGGGCTGCAGTGGAGCCCTGTGGCAGCTTGTGGGAGGAATGCTCTAAAGCTTTTCCAGCCGCCAGCCTCCAAAGGCAGTTTGGGTGCTGGAAGCAAGCTAACAGGTAGCATGAAAGTTTGGGGCAATCTGTGTAAGATGTTGCAAGCAAAACAAGTTCTCAGGCATATCTGCACGGGCACGCAGCTGCACTGTGGACATGCAGCACCTAAGCCAACTGAATACAGGTTTGCCTGGTGCCCCTTTGTGTCCTGCTTAGAACAGTCTGTGGCATGGGATGGCGCTGCTTTAGCCCTTACTGTTAGGAAGCTAAGGAAGCTGTAACCTCACTGCTTTCAGAGTTATATCCCATAATTCTTGGCTCGGAGGGGTACTGAATAGACACAGCTGATACACGTGTATTTAGAATCAGACAATCATCCAGGCTGGAGAAGACCTCTGGGATCATCTGGCCCAACCTTTAACCTGGTACTAAAGTCCACTATTAAACCATGCTACTATGTTCCAAATCTACACATTTCTCAAAGACACTGAGAGATATCCTTTTTGGCCAACAAGCATCTTTACAAGCATTATTAAGCATGTTTACAGGCATTGTTGATGCTTAGCTAACAAGTATTAACACTTTACTTCCAAAGCAGCCCCCATTATTTACAGCCTACCCTGTAAAAAGGTTTCTTCATTATTTATCCATAGTCTTCTTCAAAACCTTTTGCCTAGAACTAATGTTGGCTAGAGAAATATTACACAAATCTCACATTTCAACAATCACTCCAAATGCCATGACCTTTGGGGAAGCATTTGTTTTCATGTTTCTGCCTTTTGAATACATAAGGTATGAATATTATTTATGAATATTCACTTTATCCAAGTGACAAGTCCAGTAGTGGGTTCTGGTTCCACCTGTCCAAAGTAGATACTAAATATATCCTAAATTCAAAGTGATAGGTTGTCTTCAATTTAATGTAGTTATTTTTTGTCTTTTTGAATGGCACACGTCCTCATTCCAAATATTCTGGGAGATAATTTCTCCTCTCCAAAGAGAGAGGTGTGAGAACATAACACGCCCTGTTTCCCACACAGGTACACCATTTCTGCTCTGCTCTGACCCTCAGCCTAAAGGCAAATCAGCACTGCACTTGCAATTTGCAGCAAAGCAAATGCCCTTAAATTCACTAGACTCATTCAAAAAATACTTGTTGGATATGACTTGGGGAGACAGCCTAATTTTTGTTTTGAGTTGTTAACTTGAACTGGGGCAATTCTGAGCAGACATAGTTCTGCAACTTTACTGATCTGGGGAACCTAGCAAAAGCTGATTAAAACAACGTACTTCCAGCGTAACGGCCAGCACACAAGACTGGGCCAAGTTGTATTGCTCCTGCTAAAAGCAAATGCATTCTTAATTCTAGGGGTAATAAGAGAGAGAAAAGTCGTTCACTTTCTCAAGATCATACGTATTGTATTCTACAAGTGCATTATTCTTAGAGGAAATGCAAATCTGTCACTGTACCTGTCACAGAAGTTGGAAGGGTATTAGACTTTTTCAGCTGCTCCCTTCTTTCTAGTCTTGACACAGCAGTCTCAATTTTCTTCTCCCCCTCTTGAGGTGTAGATTTCTGCAGTGTGCTTGTTTTGCTGCTGCTGCTTTTATTATCTGACTGGTTACTCACAGCCGCCTAGAACAGAGAAGAAAAATTGGTAAATTAGGACTGGCCTGTCCTGTAGTGGCTGCCAGTAAGAGATAGCACGCTTGATGCTTTTGGTCATCACCTGTCCCTTAACCTTTTGGGCAAAGAATCCAAACACTCCGATTCTTCCAAAACTTAGAGTTAATAAAGCTTGTAAAAGAAGACAGTAAAATTAAATTTGTCATTTCAGTCAAAATATTGAGCAGTTTGACCCAGTCCAACCTGTTACACACAGTACAGAACAGTGTGTGTCTGTGGGCAGCTTCACACCCACCAGTTACGTATGTCTGTACATATCTGTCCATCAGAAATTTGGGTCCCATAACAAACATCAAAATGGGCTTCATTATCCACACAACTTCCCTTTTTACCATCTGTGGTTCCTACATACAGCATCACAGTGATTCTGTGATCACTGCTTGCACAGCGTCAGTGCTGTACTGTAAGGGGAAAATACTGATAGAAAAAGACCTACTTAGAGAACAGGAGAGACGCGATACTTGAATTCATTGCCTGCTTTAAGTGTTTGCATGTTTTGTATTACAGTGCATTTCTTTCACTCATCTACATTTTATCCAAGTAATATATGCTAATAAAAATAAATTCAAGCTTACTAATATTCACCTAGTAATGAATCTTCCAGCTGTTATATATATCCCAAAGCACCGAGGTTCTCTCAAGCTCTGAAGGACAGACTTTCCATACAATTTTTCTGTTGTACGACCTGCATAGGGGTCCTGCTTATGATTGCTATTAACTATCCTCTGATATTAAGACATCAGATTTTGTCACACCATTGCACATTATTTCCTTCTGGAGATTTGCAGAGTGGAACTCTAGACTTTCAGACTACTTTTTACTTACCTTCATCTTGGCTTTTATGACATCTTACAGACTGACCACAACAACAACAAAAAATCCCTTCCACAAAATAAAACCAGGCAGTAGTTGCAATGATCACATCAGTATTTCTAAGGATTGCTTACATTTTCTTTAGCCAGCTTCTCTGCTTGCTTTGCCTCTCTGGCTTGTCTCCTCTCTTCCCTAGTAGCTTGCTGTTCACGAAATCCCTTTTGCTTTTGTAGCGCCAATGTAATCCAAAGTGGTTGTGAAGTTTCAACTTTTTCCATCAATTTAGAGCCATCTAAAGAGTGCCTGCTCTGGAGGACTGGTTTTTCTGCAAGAAAACATGAAGAGAACTGGTTGAGTAATGCACATCCCTTGCTCAAGCAAATTAGTACAACTTACCCACCGTGTCCAACTCCGCAGCTAAGCTTATTGATTTCTGTGCCATGCACAGACCTTCATGAACTGTATGGCAAAACCTGAAACTGTTTGAATGCCTCAAGAATAAGACCCAATTCAGCATTCTCATACAGCAGTACAAATCTATCTTTTTGTTGTTAGAAAGCCTGTCCACTAGAATTCTAG